TACAAAAAAAAAAAAAAAAAGAATCTTGTTTCACATATATGGTCTATGGGAAGACACTCACACACTCCTTCTCCCACTTAAGCTTGGCGTCAGTGACGATGCCCTGCATGCGCGTTTCCATGCGTCTCTTTTCAGACATTTCCCTCTGCAGCCGCTGTTCTCTGCTCTCCAGTTCGTGCTGTAGAGATCGTTTGTCCTCCTCATAGATGTTGGTGGTTTTCTGTAGAATGTCAATCTGCATACAAAGTAACATTGAAGATGCATTACAGAGGCCACATTCAACACTTTTGTTAGTCAAGATTCGTTGGAAAAAACAGTTGTCATTCAAACCATAATTATCATAGCTTAAATTGTGTTGTGAATGCCAGACTGTGTAGACAAACACTACCGTTCAAAGTTCGGGGTTTGTAAAATTTAATCTTCAAGGAGACTCTTATGCTCACCAAGGCAGCATTTGATCAAAAATACAACAAAAATAGTAATATTGTGAAATATTATATATTTTTTATCCCGATTCCGTGATGGTGCAAATACCTTGTACTCCAGCATTTTGGATTTCTTTTCCAGACGATCAATCTCATTCTTCTGGTTTTGGATCATTTTGTCCTTTTCACCAAGCCGGCCACGTTGCTCTTGGATGAAGTTCTCCTTGGAGAGAAGGTTGCTGTCTTGCTCTTGAAGCACAGACTTCAGCATGTTGGCTGAAACAGAATTGCCACCAGAAATTAGCAAAAATGTTGCGCTTGAAAGACCATTTAAACAGTTCTCAATAAAGTGATGATTTTACCAGTTTTATTGTACTCCTGAACCATCATCTGTCGAATCTTGTGTCTCTTCTCCAGGGCCTCAATGAGTCTGGGCAGTGTAACATCATCGTTAGGGCCAGAGATCTCACAGGGAGGAAGTGGATGGAACGACTGAAGTAGTTGGTTCAATACTGTTGGAGACTCTGTAACAGAACACATCACATAATTAACATTACCAAAAAAACAAAAAAACAAACAATATGAGACTTTCGGATGGAATCCGGCATGTTAAAGAAAATTCACATTTTTAATGTTGACGCACATTGTAAGAGATAATAATATGCAAGCACACACACACACACAAAAATACCTCCATCTATAGGACCACCACGTTCTTCCAGCCTGTGGGTAAGCTCATCTTTGAAGGCCTGGTTTCTCTGTCGGCGACCAGCAGCAAAGCCACAGATGGGCCTGTCAACAGGCCGGGCCACTTCAACCTCCTGAGTCATCTCAGCAAAGCGCATCACCAGCTACACAGATGAGAAACCAAAATGTCACTGCAACTAAAATAAATCTGAAGTGGAACAATGCACCTTTTGACCTGTTAATATTGCTTACCAAGGTCTCCTCATAATCATCAGCTTTTGGATTTACACACACGACCATCCTCACTTTGCCTTCCCCATCAAAGTAGTTCTTGAATAGATGGGTCACTTTGGAGTCCCTGTACGGAACCATCTGAGCACAAAAGTCATGAGAGCCTATGAGGTTTCTAACATTTTTAACCAATCATATGGTCAGTTAATCTCTCACATACCTTGTTTGTGCCACACATCTGATTCTCCCTCAGTACCTCAATACATGTGCGCAGAGTCATTAAAGATTGATTGATGTTGCCTGTGAGAAAAAGAAACCCATACGGTCTTCATATAAACCATAACCCTGAAATCCTGAAGGTAATAAAAGTAGTTCTTTGTGCTGCTGCCTGACCCGCTTCACGGAGACGGCTGCCCTCTGCTCGGGTTCTGCTGGTGCGTTCACTGCCAGCCAGATCCACCAGACACAACTGGCTCACATTTACCTGACTCTTATCCTGAAAAAGGAACAACAAATCTTTAAGTGTTTGTCAGTGGTTTCGCTGTCACAATTGAGAGCCTAACATCTCCACATGTAGGGCCAAAATGTCACATTTGAAGGTGTAGTTCTTGCAAAAATGAAAATTGTCAATTACTCACCCTTGCATTAGACCAAATTCATAAGATTTGCATTAATGTTTTAAACACAAATTCAGATATTTTTAACGAAACTTTACATTTCCATCCCTCCATTCCAACAACACCTCAAAGAGTTCATAAAGACATTGTAAAAGGAATCCATATGAATCAAGCAGTTTAATCCAAGCTTTCCACAAAGTGACAATCACTTTATATGAAGAGATTTAAATGTATGCATTTATTCACATATGAGCATTAATCAATGCACAGAGCACATCAAATATGGCAAAGGGAAGCCAATCTTGTGCATCATGCAAACAGATGATGCTGTTAAAGAGTCATAGTTTCAGTGGAATAAACTTTAAATGGAGAGAAAAACCATTCAGGTTTCATTAAAAATATCTTCATTTATGCTTTGAGCCTTGTGAGTTTGGAACATGGGTGACTAAATTACAATTTAAATTTTTGGGTGAACTATTTCTTTAACATCTCATGAATAATTTAAACACTTTAAATGAATCAAATAAACAGGATTCATTCAAATGCTTTATCAGACTTAAAGGGTTAGTTCACCCAAAAATAAAAATTAGGCTGTGTTTTACTCACCCCAGAGCCATCCTAGGTGTATATGACTTTCTTCTTTCAGACGAATCCAGACGGAGTTATATTAAAAATAGTTTTTGATCTTTCAAGCGGTTTAATGCCACTCAGCGGGTGTTGCATGCATCAGTCCAAAATAAGTGAAATAAAAAGCGCCCATCCATAAAAATAAAAAAAATAAATTTAAAAAAAGTGTCTCACATGGCTCCGTGGGGGGGAAAAAAGGACTCCTGTAGCGAATCGTAAGCGTTGAGTTTTTGTAAGCAAAATATCCATATTCAAAACGTAATAATTACTTTAATCTAGCTTGCGCCAAGACGTGTGAGACACTTTTTTATGGATGGGCGTTTATTATTTCACTTCTTTTGGACTGAAGCACTGCAACACCCGCTGACTGCAATGACAGAGCTTGGAATAGCCAGGACAATTTTTAATCTAACTCCGACTGGATTCGTCTAAAATTCGCATTGCGTTGCATCGCACCGCGTAAACATAAAACTAGGGCTGTGCGATATTGAAGAAAAATGCGATATGCTATACCTTGTTAAATGCAATATTCGATATGCGATACGATATTGCTTAAAGTGTGAAAAATCAATTTCAATGGAAAAGAAAGAATCACTACAACTTCTGAAAGTGACCAGCACAGCAGTTTTAACATTACATAAAGTAATGTCACAAAGTCAGTGTGAATATACAAAAAAAAAAAAATTACACTAATTTTATATCATTGTAACTTTGCTTTCCATACACTTTAAGTACTTCTTCA